ATCATGCGATACCCGAGGTTTTGTGTTTACAACGCGTTTCAGTTGCTCAAAGACGAGTTGAACGTGTTTGGAACCTGCCTCTAGGATGGTCAGGAAGGGGGCAGGTAGAGTGACACCTGCCTGATGCATCTTGGAAAGGCCTGGGTGTTTGTTTGGCACGAGGCTGCAGTGATCCCCGGGGAACTGAGATGCTCTGTACCAAAAAGGGAAGCAGAACTGGGGGAATTAGGAGCACTGGGCCACAAATGCTGTTGTTCACTGTGCCTTGATAACTCTATTGCAGGTCTGGATTTCAGCAGAGATTTTCAGATGGTTGTGTGATTTGAACATCTTTGACCTTTATCACCATTTAGTCCTCTCTTTGTTGCTTTTCTCCTTTTTCTATATGGAGCTCAGTGTTTGAGAACAACCATTTCTTCCTGTATGGCAACTTCAGTAATCTCTGGCAGATTGATGAGCTCTCAGGGACTGGAGAGAGACAGTGATACAAGAAAGACCATGTTATCCTAGAGTTTTAGTCAGAGGGTGAAGAGATTGAGGAGCAATTCCAACTCTTGAATAAAATCAACTAAAGTGGAGATTAGTGTACCATGGATGCAGAACTGTCATCTTGCTAAGAGTCATGAAAACACCTTTATTAATTTTGTGGATGGAGACCTGTGGCTTCCTCTTGAGTGGCTGGGACAGCAAAATCTTCCAGGCAAAGTGCAGAACCTTTCAGCTCTTATTCATATATTTTATTTCTGCCTTGTAAATTTTCCTACATGCATATGTAAAACTTCCCCATCACTAACTTGATTACTGCATATAATAATAATTTGCAGGCTTCAACCTGCTGAAAAGGCCTGAAGGCAAATTTGCTTTCCATATAGTTTCAAGTCTCCACCCATACTATGAGCATTACTTCGAAGGCCTTAAGCATTTTGCATTTGTAGCTTTTGCAACTGTCCCATTGTGAGGAGATAAATGAGTGAGGTTTCAGCTGCTTTTGGGTTCTGATAGCAGACATAGAGGCAAGTAGGAGTGACCTTGCTGCATTTCTCACCTCTGAGATGGCCTTAGAGATGAATCCAAAAGTCCTGAAGTTGGAGGAAAATCAGATTAAACACCTCATTGAGATATTGCCTATACAGGTCTTTAATATGATTACATAATGCATAACAGAATGTATTACTTACTGTTATGTTAGTGAACCAAACTCATCACACATTACTGAAAACTTTCAATGTTCCCTTTCTTTAGAAATTCTGAATCAAGTTTTTTCAGGATTTCTATTTAATGAGAAGAAATTCATGGGTAGAGATCCATATTGAGTAGATGTGTGTGTCCAGGCAGCTGTTGAGCAGCAGCAATGAACATCCCAGTTATGCAGAAAAGAAAAAACTGATAAAGGAAAATAGATCCAGAAAGGATATATAATATGTCAGCTCCTTTTCCCATGAGCAAAACCTCATCACCCTGAAGGGATTGGCAGAGTTGGGAGAAAAATTTGCTTCATACCTGGGTTGCACAAACTCTTGGATGGGGACCATTAGAACCAGGCAAGCCAGGGTTGGCGTGAGGCCTCTTCAGTCAGTAATTCCCACACTGTGTTTTGCTCTAAACCCTGTCTGCTTCCACAAGGACCTCTCTGAAGTCACAAATGACTGTTTCAGAAACCATTCCCTTTGTAATTTGCCTGTGTCCTGATAACACCATCATCACCTCTCCATTCTGCCTTCTAAGCAGAGGGGCCACTTCCTGATGTGCCCTCCTTGTAGATATACTTCCACCTTGCTTACAGCAGGCTCACAGTGAAATAAGACATTTCTCACCAGACAGACAATGCTGCCTTGCTTTCATGGGCTACCACACCAATGATTGATACTTTTTTTGGAGTTAGTGGTAGAGGTTTGGTCTAAGTTGCCTGTAGATCAGTTCAACACCAAGGAAATTGTCTTTTTTAATCACTTTGTCTTTAAATCAGGGTTGATGTTTTCTTAGGCAAAAAACATTGATTTAAATGTGAACTGTAGGGCTTGATTCTGTTCAGCTGCAGAGGAGAGGATAATTCCTGCAGCTGCAGGAGCCAACATTCTAAGTTTACTGCCTTGCTTCACCTGTCAGTTTACAGCAGTCTTGTCTGATCCCCTCCTCTAAAGAATGTAACATTGCTGTTGAGTTCTGGATGAGAGTAATTACATGCTGGTTTTAGACAGGTAAATGATTTAGGTCATCTTCCTAAGATCCTGAAGTCCAGTATGGGGTTTTTTGTTGTTGGATGGTTGGTCTGTGTGTGTTGGCCTGCCAGGATTTAGTGCATTCTAAATTGATTTGCAAAGTGGGTTTTCTGGTCTTTGGCTCATGCCAGTTGGGAAGGGGAGAGGTAAATGAGCCCCAGCCTTGTCTGCTGAATCAGTTTTGGATGTGTGTGCCAGGTGCCAATATTAGTAAGCACTCCTATCGCAGAAGATATAGGTTAAGAATAGAATTTACTCATCATATTCTTAAATAAGCACATCAAACACAATCTGCTGTATCACCAGTGCAGTTTGTGTTAGCTAAGGGCAATACCCAACATCTGATAATAGCACTGGTGCAACCAAATGGAAAACACGGGTATCTCACTGCTCCTAGGAAATGTCAGAATTGTTTGCTGTATTCTCAACATGTTAAGATTATAATTAATTTATTTTTAAATTAATTTTTCTCCCCATTGGATTAACAGAAGATTCAGTAAGTGGAATTGATAGTAATCCAGGGTGCTATCCAAATTAGAAAGATGACTTCAGTTAGGCTGCTGGTCAGGAGATGGGATATCTCATCCATGGTGGAGCCAAACTGGCTCTGGTTGGCTCTAATTCTGTGTTCCTAGCTGAGACATTCCAGGGCTGACTGGCTGGTGGGTGGCTGTGAGGAACCAGCCTTCAGGGATAACCTGATGGACTCAGCCCCTAGCGAATGCAAGTGGAGCTGCTGTGCTGCTCAGCTGCATAGCTACCAGGGGAAACACAACCCTGCTTCAGGCACAATCTTCTCTGCAGATACTCATCTCTCCACTGCTCACCCCTGCATTTATCCCTGTGCTGTGCTATTTACTTTTCTCCTTTAGATACAGAAAATGCATTTCAAACGAAACTTTCACATGGTCAGAAGCAAAACACATCTGAGAAGTGTTCCCTCCAGTATAGTTTTACTTTTAGTCATCTTCAGTTACAGAGAGGGAATGACACTGGCAGTGACTCTGCAGCACATTTGCTTAATCCTAGTATGGAAGGAGAGGCTCTGGCTAACAGGTTGTTTTTAATGTAATTTCATTTCTAAACAAGCTGCTAATCAGTTCTGAATCATGAGTTTGGAAGAGAACTTGGAGCTTTTGTTAGGCCCAGAATTGTTCATTGGCAAGTTTCTGTTTCCTGGTGAGATAGTGATCCACACATACTGAGGTTACCCAGAACCCAAAGTCAAATCACATTCTGTCATTCTATTTCAAATTCTTATCTCAGATCAGGATTGTCAAAAAGTCTCCTTTAGTTTACATACAGTTCAGAAAGACAGAAGAATAAGGACTAATTTCTCAGTGTATCCTTTATCTGATAGAGTTTTGTATTGCTCCAAAGAAAACCAACTTCACTTTGGTGTTGTAGCTTGGCCACTTTAATTCCAAATTTGCAGGCAGCCTGTAAAGGAGTGTTTTCTTTAATTTTTATTTATTATTTTCTCACAAAGCCTTTGTTCTTTCAGAACACTACACCTGTACTTGCTTTTTCTTCCAAAGATAATAGTATTCTGGCATCTTTCCAGTATCTAAAATAGAAGTCTCCCTGAGAACCTGCTGCACAGGCTGATAAAATACAATCTTATTTTACCTTCCCACCTTTCAGATGCTGTCCCACACACTGTGTGCCTCTTAGTTATGGCTAGATTGAGACACGCTGGGTAGCACTTTGATAATTGATAAGTCCAGCTAATTTGGACAGAAAAGGGTATTTGTCAAGGTGTGGATCTGAAAGAGCCATGGAAAAGACCATTTATAAATAGAGGAGAGCAATTTAACAACCAGTCAGCCAGTGTCTCCTTATGTCTACACAGAGTGTGCTTTGACCAGTGTCGTCCTGTGTGACCTTATGGAATGCCTGGGGAAGGTCACTGTGACATCCCTTCCCCTAAAGGGTGAAACGTCACAGCTGCCTTGGTGGTTGAAGCCAGGAAGTGCTTTAGAAGATTCCTTAGTTCTTTTGCTCAAATTCCTCCTCTGGAGATGACTTTGCTTTTATGACCTGCCCTTTCTGTGCCTCTACCTGAAAGGTGTGCTCAGAAGCTGAAATTTCCATAGCGTTTAAGCCCCTTGTGCCCTTTGCTTTCCTGCGTCTCTCCCGGCCTCCAGCGTGGAGCAGGTAGGGCTGGAGCGGGGTGTCCGAGGCAGGGAGAGGAGGTGAGGCAGCAGCGGCTCCCTGGGGAGCCACGGGGACCAGCGGGGCCAGCTGCTCAGGTGAGGGCCAGCTTGATGGGGAGCTGGCAGCCTGGAGGTAGAAGGCAAGGAGGAGAACGTGTGGGTAGGCACTGGAAGAGGAGGGAAAGGGGAAGGAGCGGGGGGGACACGCTAGAAATGAAGGTGGGTGACAGAGAGGGGTGCAATGAGAGCCGAAGAGCCCTGACTGGGGGAGCGAGCCCAGGCAGGTCGGTGGCAGGGGAAGTGGGTCGGGGCAAGGCGGGGATGGAGGTGTGCGGAGAGCAGGCGGTGTTTAGGAGGGGAAGTGGGCAGGTGGCCGGGCAGGGTTAGGCAGGTGTGTGTTCCCCAGGAAGTGGGCGCGGGGCCGGAGGAGGGTCAGCGGGCGGGGAAGCGGGCACGGGCTGCGAGGGGCTGCCCCGGGGGCGGGAGGCGGCCCCAGCCGGGCCGTGGGGCAGCCCAGGGGCCGCGGTTCCCGGCAGGGCAGCGAGGGGCGGGCGGCAGCGGGGACGATAAAGGGCCGGGCGGCGGCCGGCGCGGGCAGAGCGGAGCGGCTGCGGCGGCGGCAGAAATGGGGATGCTCAGCCTGCCCGGCTTTCTGTCCTGCGGCAAGAAGAAGGTGAGGCGGCGGGGTGAGGCTGGCCGGACGCACCCGGGCAGGTGCGAGAGGGTGTAACAAGTGTGGGTGCACCTGAGCAGGTGAGTTGTGGACGTGCCCAGGTAGAGGGCACTCGGCAAGCAGGGTGCAGGTAGGTTGGCAGCTGAGGGCAGGTATGAAGTTGTTTGGGTAGGTGAGATCCAAACAGGTAGTAGGATGAGCACCTGGGCATGTGTGAAAGGCACTAGGACAGGTGTTTGTTAAAGTAGGAATACAGGTCTGTGCTGATGTGAACATCTGAACAGGATGGGGGCATCTGGGCACGTGCAGGGGCAGAATAGGGCAGTCTCCTGGAGCTGCCCCCAGGAGCTGACAGCACAAAGGACTACAGCAGGAGTAAGGCAAAACTGTCTGTGGAGGTGTTTGGACTCTCTGGTGGGACCCTCTCTCACAGGTCTGTGCTGTCCTGCCAGCGAGCAGCTGGATTGGCAGCCCAGCTGGCTATGCCCACCCTTTGCGGCTGCCCAGCCATGTCAAGGTGCGTATCTGGACAGAGAATGTGATGGATGACTATGAGGATATGATTGTCTTTCTTGCCTTGTGGGTGACCACAAGCCTTCCCTCTTCTCTTCCAAGGACTTCAATTTGACAAATGAAAAAGATGCCCCTGACAACGATGAGAACTCGGAGCGTGGCAACTGGTCCAGCAAAAGCGATTACCTGCTGTCCATGGTGGGCTATGCCGTGGGCCTGGGCAACGTCTGGCGCTTTCCCTACCTCACCTACCAGAATGGAGGAGGTACCTGTACTGAATGGCAGGGTCGGGTGGGCACACCTTGCTATCCCCAGGAGAGAGGAAGGCAAGCTGCAAGGGCCAGCTCTGAGGCTGGGCATGTTCTGTCAAAGCTGGATGTGAGCATCACCTTGGGAACTGGGATAGACCCCACTCATGGGAGAGTAAGAGGCTTTTTGGGTACCAGCTGAGAAGGGAAACAATATTTAGTTTGAGTTGCAAATTTTCTACCTGAGAATTACATCTTCTTCTGAATTACTTATAAGCAATGTGTACCTTTTTGTTGTGTGCCAAAATCCTCTACTTGTGTAAACAGCTATTCTCCATCCCCAGTGCTTACCTCCTGGTAAGTTTGTTATATACCATACCTGGTATGTTTATAGAGAACAGATGAATCCCCTCTGCACCTTGGTTTTTCCATGCAAACAATCTAAGCTGGAATAATTATCACAGCTCAATAATTACCCAGATCAGACACTTGGGAAGTGTGAGACAGAGAGAGCGTCTCTACCTGCTTACACAATGAACTAGTGGCAAAGCCAAGCAGAGGCACTGGCTTCATTGGCTTGTAGTCCAGAGTTTTATCTACTTGCCAGGCTACCACTGGTAGTTAAAGAGTGTGTAAATAGTAACTGCAGAGAACTTACTTATATGTTCCTATTTGCCCTAACAGTCTTTGAAGTCAAATTCTGGACTGTAAAGGCAGCACAGCCCACACAGCTGCACATGGAACATAAGGAGGCATTTTCAGTACAGAATTTTTATTGGCTTGAGATTGGCTGGTTTGCATTACTTACAGTTTTGTTGAAGAAAATTGCGAAAACAAAATAAGTTGTGATGTTGGCCCTTGGACTAGATCTTTTCCTTTATCTGCTGCAGCAGAGACTTTGCATTTAAAGCACATTCGTGCTGCTGCTTGCATCCTTTTCTGTGCCCCTTGCCCATGATTGATAAAGACAACTGTTACGTCCTTGTTTCGAAACACAGGAGTAATCCAGTTAATTCTCTGGGACAATTTGCTTCGTGAAATTACATCAGGTATTTGCAGTTCCTTGCAGAACTGGGTCCTTGATTGCTTTAAATTCACTGAGAGTGATCAGGACAGATTCCTGCAGGGATATCGTGTTGTGTTTATGAAACCTGTGCTCTCGCTTTCCCTGTCTTCTGTGCACAAACAAAGAAGTGCCAGTCCCTTTCACAGAACAGGGTGCTCACTGATATCAGGTTAGCATGCACTATTAAATGGGCTTGAACAAGAGCCATCCTGAGATGTTTGACACAGGACTCAGCCAACCATAGAAAATAATCTTCATGCTTTGATGTCCAGTAGCTGCTTAACAGGGCAGTTGCAAAACACAGCTAAGTACACACAGGAATGGTTCTGTTCCTCTTTAAGTTAAAAGCTGTAAGATTAAATAGAAAGTGGAGAAGGCTGGTGGTGCCCACAGCTGAGCACTGTTCCTGCTTGTATTAGAGCACATCTTCAATAAGTTTTTCATCAAGTTTTTGGAAAATTAATTTACTTTCTATAAGAAGCCATTCTTTTTAAATCAGCAGTTCTGACAGTCTGTGTCTCTTCATTGCAGGTACTATTTAGTCTTATAGAAAATAGGACTTAGAAACGAATCTCTCTATTTTGAAAAAAAGCCCCTGCAGTGGGGTATTTGAGCAGGGGGGAAAGGGGAGTATAAAATGTGATTAAATCGTGGTAAATGCTGAAAGATGCCTTGCTTTCTCTGTGTGATTGTGCTTTTCACCTTCTTATCTCAGGTGCTTTTCTAATACCCTACACTCTAATGTTGGCATTAGCCGGCTTGCCCTTATTTTTCATGGAATGTTCCCTGGGACAGTTTGCCAGTCTAGGGCCAGTTTCCATCTGGAGAATACTACCATTGTTTCAAGGTAGGTTTTATTATGTTTCCTGAAATCTTTTTTATTCCAGTAATAAACTGTTGTGAATTAATGATTTCTTCATGAAGTTACTGATTCTGAGACACCAACATCCGTGTAGCAGCTATTCCCAGTGTTACAGGGTCAGTGTTATGTTTCCAGGTATATACTTCCTCATTGTTCAGTTAATAAACAGACGTTGAGTAAAGATTTCCCCAAAAAGGTTATTGGTTATGAAAGGTTTTATCAATGATTGTTCCAGTGTTAAGCAGCGCATCAGCCTCACTCCAGCTGCCCAGGCAGAATGAAATATCCCTGTTCTGCTGTGTGAGGGAAAACCTCAGTAAAACAACCAGTGTACCTTGTGCAACAGGTTGAAAATAAATTTTACAAGCTGACTTTATTGCTGTTTCTTTATGCTTCACATCCAGTGTAGCTTGCAAGGCAATTGTGTTAGATGGATTAATTCTGTATTTGGCTGCCAGTGCGGGCACAGGCACACAGGTCTGGGTGCTCTGTGCTGTAGTGTGCACAATCATCCAGCAGCTGCCTTGGGAGTCATCTGCTGGTGTGATAAAATAGCCTAGACTCTGGCTTTGTAAAGTGAGGTGCCTCTCGAGATAAGAGAAATTGTTGCATGCTGTAGTGGTAGCTTGTGTCCGGGAGGGTTTGTATTTCACAGGGAGATTTGTTTGGAAACAATCAACCATGTGTTTTACTCACACCTGTCCATCCCAGTCCTGGGGTGTTAAGGACTATGCAATGGTTTTGTTTGCCTTAATCTACCAGAGGAGTTAACGTAGGAACAAGGAAGTTTCTTTCTGATGCAACAAGAATTTTGCTTGTCACCTACAGAAACTGGTTGCCCCAACGTTCTCTCTTTTTGCCAGTCTCTGTTCTGCAGCACAAGACACTTTCATGAAAGCAGTGTGTTTATCTTTAAAGTTTTTAAACTGTGTATTTTTTATGTGTCTGTGAAGACAGAAACTTAAATATCGTTTCTAAGATGATTGGTACAGTTTGTCAGACTTTCCCTAACTCACAGAACAAAACTAATTTTAACAAGGGGGAGAACAGTAATACTGGCAAGATTTACTGTAGTTTAAAGCATTCATTACCGTGGAATCTTTAAAAAGGCTTGGGCAGTCCTAGTACAGTTTGTTTTATTTTACTGAGTTTCCCTCTGAACAGGGAGAGAACAAAATACTGAATTTCTCCTTTAGACTTTGCAAGTAGTCCAATTTTTCTACGACCCTGATTCAAACTCTTATTTCAAAATCATGTTTGAGAGGGTCAGTTTGGATCATATCCATCATTTCATTGGTTGAAAATTTCACTGTTTGTTTGCTGTTAAAAAATATTTTAACTGAACAAAAACCAACTTCAACTTCTTGCCAAGTAGCCTTCTTTTAAAAGTCAAGTGAAGGCTGTTTGTTTTGGTGGGGGGTTTTTTGCAACCAGAGTTTGGGGTGGTTAAGACATTGTGTTTTAGTACAGTAATGTCAATAACAATGTCTCAACAATGTTAATAACAATGTCTTAACAATGTTAATGTCTTAACATCTTCTTTCCTAGGAGTGGGCATCACAATGGTCATGATCTCAACATTTGTGACTATCTACTACAACGTTATCATTGCTTATTCACTCTACTACTTATTTGCCTCATTTCAAAAAGTGCTGCCATGGTCAGACTGCTTTTCCTGGGCAGATGAATTCTGCAGCAAGACACGAATAGGTACCTTACTTACCGGATTTTAATATTATAGTTTTTGGCAATTGGACTGTTCTCTGGGTGAAAGGATAGGAGCAAGACAACTACGGGTGGCTTCAAAAGTCCTTCCTGGAGTTTTGCATCTGAACACAGAGGAGTGATGCTTATCCACTTCCCTGCCACCAGTTCTGGGTGCTTGGGAAATCCACAGAGTAGTGGCTGAAATCACCTTGTTGGATCCTTTTTTTCTCCTTTAAAATGCCAACTTTTTTCCTAGTACATACAATCCCTGGAAATACTGCATTCCCATTCCATCGGGCTTCACGGCAAAAAAAATACCTTCCTTCCATGAGACAAACCACTGCAGTAATTTTAACGAGTTTTTTTTCATTGCCCCTTGCCTTCCCTGTGGCTATGGTAATCCTGAGCACCGCTGAGGCACTGGTTTCACACTTCATTAACTCTTTAGAACGGATCTCCACACTATTGTTCTTGTGTTTGGCAGCAGTTGTAGAGACAAACACTTGTTATCTCACCAGTATCAGACCAGTTTAAGGCAAAAGGTGAATTCGGTGAGATAATTAGCAGTTAGCAGCTGGAAATGTCCTACCTGGTAACCAGTGATTATTAAAATAACAGGGACAAGATCAGGATGGATTACATTGTTTACAGTATTAATGTAAATATATCTCAATCATATATCTGAAAATCTCTTCTAAGATGTCTTATGTAACAAAAAGTTAATGATTATTTATTGGCAAAACAAAAAATATTTCAGCATGTGATTTGTAAGTTTTGGGGGAACACAAAACTGAACTGAAGAAGCTGTCTTGATATAGGTTTCAACAAGAATTTCCAGTAAATGCTGATAAAGTGCTTTTTATTGTATGTTCTGGCAAAAAATTCCCAACCCGTTTCCATTCCTTCAACCCTACTCCAAGGAAAATATTTAAAGCACTCTAATAAGCCCTCTGCCACAATAAGATTAATACCAGGTACCAGATGTGTCACCTTGGTTTGGGACAAAAGTTTTCATAGAGTAACTAAGGCTACAATTTTAACTATGCTCAGTTCTGATTTTTGTAAGTATTCTTGAGAATAAGTAAAACGTAGTGAGCACACCAGATTCTTGGTGGTTTGATTTACAGTCAAGTAGAGAAGTCACAGCTGCAAGTGACATTTCAGGTTTGTTTCTAAATATTGTTAGCAGGCAAACTGAAGCTGTTATTGCTTAGGAAACACATTTGCTCTATTGGGCTGATTTTTTTTTTATGACAGTCATCCCAGTGTTATTGATTCCTTTTTCTTGATTTCAGTAAGTGACTGCAATGCAACCTTGCATGGGGAAATCATTCATGCAAACTACACATTCATCACAAGCAACAATCTCACATGTTTAAATGGCACCATAAACTACAAGCCAGTGCAATTTCCCAGTGAGCAATACTGGAAGTAAGTAAATACTTTAAAGAAATTACTAAAAATAATTCTTTATGCATTGTGGTTTTGGATGTTCCTTTTATTTTTGTCTTGCAGTCCAGAAAAATATCTAGTCAAGGGACACAGACATGCAAATCACTAGAGAGGGGACTTAAAATTTAATTGATAAGGTTGGCCTTTATAGAGAAATTATGTATAGAAAGAGAAGCAAGTGAGTCAACCTTCAACCAACTGAAAAAAAAACTCCAATTTAATGAAGTTCTCTTCTCTGGAGTCCTGGTAGGCACTACTTGGCATCTTTTATTGTAGTATAGAATATTTTTTTTTCCCTCAGGAGTTACTGTGTAAAATATATTCACCTTATTCTGAATGTGGGCCTGTCGTGAAATTGCTGTTTCTTTATAGCCCCATGGTCTCAATTGGCCTCATGTTCCCTGGGTTGCTGGAAACTGATTCTTATGGGCTCTTCTCTTCCTGCCAGAATTTCATGATTAACACAGAATATCTTAGGTGGGCCTTACTTGAGATGTATGGAGAGATGAGAGCTGGTAGTCTTCAAAAAGAGGTGAAAAATGCAGTTAAATATACAATTTCTCAATGCCAGTCATGCAATTCTAACTGCTCACTCTTGGAAGAGGCTGCAGAGCCTCATCATAGCTGCACACACCAGCTCACTTTGTCCTGAGAAGTAGCTGAAGAGGAGGGGGGTGTGTGCTGCTCACCCCTCCTCACGGGAGCGTCGTGTGCTTTCAGCAAAGTGACCCTGCAGCGCTCGAGTGGGCTGGACGAGACCGGCAGGATCGTGTGGTACCTGGCGCTCTGCCTCCTCCTCTCCTGGATTATTGTTGCAGCTGCCCTGTTTAAAGGAATAAAATCTTCTGGAAAGGTATGTTAGGAGGAGCAAGGAGATGACTTTTGGCCTGATTCTGCTCTTCCAATGTCAGTTGGACCCAGGGAGGTTTAGCACAAGGCAGGATGCAGTCCTAACACACCCCTCTGCTGGGCTCAGCATTTTGCTTCCTTCCTCCTCCTCGGCTTCATAACTTACATAAAATATGAGTAAGGGTGCTGATTACACAGCCATTATTTAACACCTGGGCCTCAACTCCACCAGGCTGCCCTGTATTTTGGGATCTTGCTGTCATGCCGGTGATTCCAGCTGAGTTTTAGCAGTTGCCTGGGCTGCGTGATGGAAGCGTGCATGTGATGGCACACATGGGCACACGCCCTGGGAACACCCGGTGATTATTTTGCACTTCCAGTCTGGTTGAGATGTTTGGACAATACAGGTCAGGTCTTGTGAGCAGATGTGTGTGCAGGTTCCTGCCAGATTGTGAAATGTTGTTCGTTCCTAAGAGCTGCAATGATTTTTAGGGACAGGTACATAGATGCTTGTTTTCAGAATCTGTCTCTGCTGAGCTCCCATTTCCACAAGTTGCAGCATGGTTGTCTGGAGTTTTTCTTGGGCTAGCTTGACTTCAGGCAGGCTGAATTTCATCCTTCCTCACCTGAGACCCTTTTCTTGGTTTTGTTCCTTCCTCCTTATACTCTTTTCTCACCTTCATATTGCATCTCCATCATTTACTTCTTCAGCCTCAGTTGCCTTTGTTCTTTTGTTCACCTTTTCTGCACAGACTTTTTCCCCCTCCTTTTCCTTCTGTCATTGTGCCTTTCTTTGGTTCCTTGCTGCCTGCTTTCCTCTGCTCAGTGTGATGTCTCCTGTTTTGCTTTCTATTTGGAGCTTTCTGCCCTTGTTTCAGTGCTTTGGGGTGGAGTATGTGTGCTTTCCCAGCCTCAGTTATTTGGTTGCATGGCTCCTCTTAATCTTGTGTTCTTTGGGTTCCTGGCAGTTGGCTCTTTCTGTTGTCACTTCTGGCACAAAGATAATCCTCTTTGGAGAGTAAGGTGGGACTAGGAAGGATCTAGCTGGGCAGGAACAAGGCAGATGAAAAGCAGAGAGAATTGTCCATTCTAGGCAAGCGTGAAGGAGGTCTTCAGAAATGTCAGACTCGCCACATGATGGTGCAATGCTCTGGCCTGGTGGAACCAGTAGTACTGGGTCAATTACCTGTCTTCATAACACTGAAACTAAGACTCAGGAAACCAGAGTATTGTTGAATATAGCCTGTGTGACAATAACTCTCCTGCTGGCCTTGGTCCCATTGTGCTACAACAACAACAGAATAGATCTGTGTCTGAGAGAATCTGAAAGTCCTTGTTCCTGTAAAGAAAGCTTCCAGAGCAGTGACTTTTGTTTTAGTTTTTGGGGTTTTTTTCTTTTTCTTTTTTTTTTTTTGGGAGTGGGAGAAGGGGTGTGGGGAATAGCAGGGAGCTCCTCAGGAGATAATTCCACCCCAGTCACCTTGTTTTTCCTGGCTTTCAGATTGCACTTGCTAGAAGCATTACCTAGCAAGAGATGTCTGGGGTAGTTGAGTCCAGACCTTGCTACAGCAGTAAATCATGTTAGAAAAATGCATTTCTGAAACTGGCCAAGTGCTATCTGAAATGTGGATATGTGGCTTGGGCCTTCTGCTTCTGCTGGAATGCAGCTCCAGAACCAGCTAAGCCAGATGGTTTGGTGGCTGGCATGTGTTCACTTCTCTGGTTGCCTGTTTTCCTTTTGTACCAGACCTTAGCCTAAAGCCTGTCCAGTCTTCCTGCATAGAGGTCTGTGGATCCCCTCAGGCCTAATGTGTGTCCCTGCCCATCCTTCTGCAGGTTGTCTACTTTACTGCACTCTTCCCATATGTCATCCTGCTCATCTTGTTGGTGCGAGGTGCCACCCTGGAAGGTGCTTTGGATGGCATTGAATACTACATTGGGAGCCAGTCCAACATCACCAAGCTGATGGAGGCAGAGGTGAGAGGTAGCATCAGCCCCAGAAGTGTGTCACACTTCCCTGGTTATGTGGGCTTGCTTCTTTTTTATCCAGTCATGTGCTTCAGCTCCTGCCCTGTATTTTGTATCAGCAGCTGGTTGTGTAAGAAGTCCCAGCTCCTATACCAGCTATTCTCAAACTGAAAGACAGTCACCTTCTTCTTCCCCACCCCGCCACACTGGTGATGACAACTGTGCTATTGCCTCTAAACAGTTCTTGGGGGTCATGCTGGAGCTTCATCTTAGCAAGACCTGCTGAGAAAGTTCTTGCTGATAATTTTAAGGGACTTTATCTTAAGGTTGAAGGGATCCCTGAGTTTGAAATTCAGACAACGCCTTGCCTGGGAAATTACCTTGGGTGATTAGGCAGACCAGGAAGGGCACCACGTGCAAAGAAAGCCGGGACTTTTTTGTTCTGGATTATTATTGCAGCTTTATCAAAAGCAAGTGTATCAAAGTGATATTTATTTGTGGTACTTATGTGAGTACTTGGCACTAGCTGAGGGTCTACATCAGAAGTGGTTTGTCTGGGTCATGGTGTGTCTGGGTCACACAAGTGGGAGGGTACAGGGAAGCTCTCACTCCTGCAGCCAGTCCTGGTTGTCCTTATTTGTTGGCTCTGTTCCAAGATTCATATCTCAACAACCCACCTATGTGAACAAATTGAATCTCTTCTTCAGGGTTAGTCCAATAAGATTTAAGTATTTGGCAGCATGCTTGGGACGTGACCTTTGGAGATCCTAGAGATAGTGTTTGTGATTGAGACTGCGAAATCACCAGTGTGCTATATTCTATCCTCCCTAAAATCCATATGAAATAGGATTAGATATACAGGCTGAATGAAAAAAAAAATACCCTTAAGCTTCAACAGAGGACATGTTTAAAATGTTTATGAATGAATGAATTAAAATGTTATGATATTACATGTTTAAATGTTTATGATAAGTACTGTAAGTAATACAATAATTCTCATGTTCTTTCTTTCTGTAGGTTTGGAAAGATGCAGCCACCCAGATATTTTACTCCCTGTCTGTAGCATGGGGTGGGCTTGTTGCTTTGTCTTCATACAACAGGTTCCACAACAACTGCTACTCAGATGCCATAATAGTTTGTGTGACCAACTGTGTCACCAGCATATTTGCTGGGTTTGCAATATTCTCCATCCTGGGACACATGGCATTTGTGTCCGAGAGACCCGTCTCAGAGGTCGTGGACTCAGGTAGGCTCATGGTCACACTGCTGGTATTGGGACTTGCTTTGGCCAAGGCATGACAATAACCTCCTTCTTTCCACTACTTTCCAGGGTTTGAGCTGGCCTTTGTAGCCTACCCAGAGGCTCTCTCCAAGTTACCAGTTTCTCCTCTGTGGTCCTTTTTATTTTTCTTCATGCTCCTGCTCTTGGGCCTTGACTCCCAGTTTGCCACCATAGGTGAGTGGGGTTTTAAGTGACACATGGCTTTTCAAATGACCATTATCTTTTTTTTAATTGTGCTGCTCAAACTCCCTACTTCTTCCTTTGCAGAAACACTTACAACCACCATTCAAGATATATGTCCCAGAGTGATGAGAAAATTAAGACTGCCTGTAACCCTAGGTCTGTGTGCACTGCTCTTTTTACTTGGGCTTATCTGTGTTACTCAGGTAAGAAATTAAGTTTTTTTTGGTAGTTGAGTTTAGTTATGCTGCAAGTGATGAACTCAAATCAAAATACCCTTTCCCATTGTTCCTGTCTTTATGGATCAGTCTAAGAGACCCTTGAATTTTGTCATTGTTTCTGGATGCAAGTAAGAAATTCTCAGGGAAAGCTTGAGGAACCTAAGGTTTTCTATGATTATTGAACAGAGACATGGTTTTAAATAGAAGGCCTTTAGAACTATTAGCCTGATTTATCTTCCCTCAGCTCAGGAATTTGTGTAATCACAAGTACATGCATACAACATGTCCGCGGCACACTGAGTACTGCTAATAAATGCTGATGGGATCTTTTTGTTCAGAACTCACTACCAAACACGACAGGAATTGAGGAATGGCCTATTCATGTAACAAAAACCCATTGACTCCTGAGCATCTGTAGATTGCATGGTTACTTCTCCTGTGTTTGTGTATATACATAAATAGACATACAGAAAAGGAATTTTAAGTATACTGTGTAAAGTTTCTTGAGGCAATTGCTTTTAAGACTATAAAGGTTCACTGCAATTACTCCATCTAGAAATGCAGATTTATGTGTGTAACTGGACTGAGAATGTGAAGGAGGTAATTGTGGTGAGTAGTGAGTTGTATGGTCAAGCAAAGTACATAAGTTATGAAATAGGGTGGTGGGGAAGCTTGCAAGGGACTTAGTACATGAGAGTGTGAAATGGCTCAGAAATTGATTCCTACTTTGTGATCCTGCTATTGCAATCATGCTGGTGTTTAAAGCTGTGGTATGTGGGATGTTTAACCACATAAAGAAGCTGTGCATATAGGAGGATAGACTTCCCAGAACTGGTAACTGGTATAGCTATTGCTGTAGCTTAGTATAAAAACTTCAGCACCAGCTTTATTCCTGTAAGCTCCAAATTCAAATCTTGCCCTCAGCTGTTTGTGTATGCTCTGCATATACATAGATCTTGGTTTTAGCATCTGTAGTATTTTGTTACACATGTTTTTCAACTTTACACAGAGGGATTTAAAGAAAATAATATTCACAAATCTGTGAGACCTGGAGAACTGTGAACTTAAAAACCCAGAGTTGTGATTAGTTAAATTGTCTTCAACAAAGGCATCTTATTTTATTTGCATAAATATGTTACTACTCAATTTTTAACCTCTAATGTTTGTTTTGCAGGCAGGAATTTACTGGGTTAACCTAATAGATCACTTCTGTGCTGGATGGGGAATTCTTATTTCAGCCGTCCTGGAGATAATAGGCATCGTCTACATTTATGGTAAATTATTTGCATTGAAAATATATAATTAAACTAAGCAATCCCTGGAACAGTGTATATCATGGAGTCACAGCATGGTTTTGGCATAGAAAGGACTTGAAAGATCACCCAGTTCCTACTCCCTGCCATGGGCAGGGACACCTTCCACTAGACCAGGTTTCTCAAAGCCCCATCCAGCCTGGCCTTAAGCAGTGCCAGGGATATTAAATACTAAAAACTGCAATAGAGAATTTAGAAGTTAACCATCTGAATAGTAGTACAATTAAAAAAACCCCTGTAATAATTAATGCAGAACTGGATAAACTGTCCTTGATCATTGCCTTTTTTTGATCACTTTTGAGTAACCCCAGCTGCAAGAGAGGTACCTGCTTTACAGTAAGTCCCATGATTGTGTTCCAACAGGAGGAAACAGGTTCATCGAAGACATTGAAATGATGATTGGAAAGAAGAGCCGTTTCTTCTGGCTGTGGTGGAGAATATGCTGGTTTTTCATCACTCCTATGCTGTTAATGGTGCGTGCACATGACTGGATGACAGAACTTAGTAACTCAATATTTCTGTGTGACAATTCAGGGCTGACTGCCCAGGCTCTGTGTATAAAGATGGGGCATAGCTGTGCCAGTGAAGTGAACTATGGGCTGTCTCTGCTTTTTGATACATTCCCTCCTCCTTTGATCCTCTCCAGGAGAGGCTGGAGCTTGAGATCAGTTACTGCTGAGCTGGGTCTACACTCCCAAGGACTAACACAGAGCAACTAGATTCTCTGCCTTGGCAGCTGGATTATCTTAATTTTAGACTGAGATTGGTTTGAAAGCCTTTTGAAGGAAATCCCATTTTTGGGTCAGGTGTTCGGCTGTCTGAGACCTTTTAATGTCCTGTTGCATGTCTGTTTTTTGTTACTCCTGTACTTCTGATTGTGAGTGTAGATTGTTGGATTATGTTACTATGACAGAATTTATTAACATCCTCAGTCCAGGAGCAGTGGCAAGTCACTCTGGACAGCACATTACCTGTAATCTGTCCAGACTATTGTTTAGAAAATGCTGCTTAAAATGATCCAATTTCTGAAGCGGTATTTGCCAATTTCTTATCTTAGATTCTTTCCTGTATTGCTGTAAATAATGGAACACAGGAATACATAAAACATATAGAGAAAGGTACCGGGTTCAGCCAGCAACATATGTATTATCCAACATAAGATTTTAAGAGACCCCAGAGATCAAGTTATGTTTAAACACAGATATACTCAGTGCACCTCGGTGTCATTTTTCAGTCCTGCCCCTCAGTCTTGCTGTTTGGTGATGACTGACATCAAAGCCTGCACAACTGTTCTCACACTCAGAAAGCAAGATGGAACTGTGCAGAACTTGTAGACAGCTCTTCTTTTTATTAAACCAACTTGGAAGCAGTGCAAATTCAATGTTGCTGGAAACTTGCTTTTCCCTCTTATTGTTTTTACCATTTTTTCTAGGCTATTTTGATCTGGTCTTTGGTCACATTTTCAAGTCCCACTTATGGCTCAGTGTTATACCCAACCTGGGGAACTGCTGTTGGCTGGTGCATGATCATCTTCTGTGTCATCTGGATTCCTATTGTTGCTATTGTAAAAATATATAAAGCTGAAGGAAACCTTGTTCAGGTAAGGGCAAAAGACCCTTATAACCCTGCTGTCATAGCCTCAAATCTTAATTTCTTTGGTATTATTAAGACCATCTGTGCTTTCTTCTCCAACACATAAACTACTTTGATGTGTTTTTCAACTGGAGTTTTGGACCAAAACATTATCTCTGGTAGTTGCTTCAAAGGTGCATCTACCCTATCATGTTTTGATAAGAAAATAGTCTAATTCTCTGGGAGTGCACACACACCACTCAGGAGAGATTTTTCATCAGTTCTGTTGCTATTCCAGCTTTAAATTCTCTGAAGAATTTCTATTGCTTTCTACCCCCATATAATTTTCAGGAATTTTGCCTCCCATTCCTCACAGAAGCAAGTGACAGATCTGAGCTATTCTGCTCTTGGTGAGCTTTCCCAAACTGTTCTGTTAGTCACAGCTTTCCCTGTTCTTTGACTTCAGTGTCCAGAACCCACTGACTGCAAAGATATTTGGAATGATTTTAAACAACTTTGGTGATTAGTTGAGTTGCAGTGCATATCTAGAGCTGTAATTTTACTGAGTTTTAAAAGTAGCCTGGACTAAAGTACGACATGAAATGTCTCTTGGTTTTGCTTTCCAGCGCCTTGTCAGCTGCTGCCGGCCTGCAGCAAACTGGGGCCCCTACCTGGAACGTCACCGAGGGGAACGGTATAGCCACATTGTGGATCCCAAGAAGAAAAAGGAGCATGAGATTCCCACTGTGTCTGCCTTTGTATACAAGCAACAATGAGACGGCTGTTTGGATGACTGTTTTTTAGCATATATGTGGGTTTTGTCTTTTAATATTGGAAAGGGACTAGGCAAAAACAAAAGAAAAAAAAAAAGGCAAGTCAACACCCCTGCCCTTTAAAATCCAGCCCCCAAATGAAAGCGAGTCATATTTATTTTTAGTGCTTTAGTCTTTGGGGAGGAACACATCAATTAGGCACTGAGATCTCACCAGATATGTGAGAAGTTGAGAGGGCAGGATAATACATTGCAGGCTCCCCAGGTTGCTGGACTGGGCATGCTTAACCCCATCCAACTGGTATCCAGCTGGACTGCAGATACAGGTGTGGAGGAGAGTAAAGACATTCTTGTGCTCCCCAGCTGGAGCCCAAAGGTGCTGTGTGTGTGTGTGTGTGTGTGTGTGCCCTGAGGTGCAGCTGCTGCCTTCTGCTGTGCTCTGCCACCCTGGGGGTGTGCAGTCAGCAGAGGGGAATGAGTGTGCTGCTGCCTGGCACTGGAACTCAGGGAACATGAGCAATTCTTCTCTGTCTACAGCTTGCTCAGTGTGGTGAGAGGCTGCTCAGGATTTGATGTTGAGTATGCTGTGTTGTGTGTGTTGTCTAAACAAATATAAATATTGAGTGGCAAAAAATTGCCATCACAGGAAATAAGGCTTAAACATGGTGAAAAGCAGGCTGCTTTCTATTTCTCATTATTCCCCTTGGGATCCCTAAAGAGCTATCTTCTCTGTCATGCCCCATGCTCAGTGCTCATCTGTCTTTAATTCAAAAACCTCATGTTTGCATATTCTGTCATTAAGCTCTGCAGAATGAAAGAGCAACCAATGAATTCTGGTTTGTCTGCTCTCCTACTGTCATCAATGCTTTACCTATCAGGTTGTTTTCTGCTTCTTTTACTCAGATTTGGGTTTTCCCTTCCAAAGGAGACCCCAAGTGCTTTTTTTCAAAGATCCAAACAGTGTTACGGTACGGCCAAAAGAAGCAGAACTTTACTTAAGTAAAGTGAAGGTTACAGCTACCTTGTAGTGCTGTTTATTCCAAAATTTGCTGAAATCTTGAGATTAATGAAAAGTTATGAAGTTTGTAATGCAGCTGGGAACACGAACTTGAGCATCTACATAGGCAGGAGGAGGCTGGGTGAAGAGAAACTGACTTCACTTGTAATACAAGTGAATCCTGATAAAGGGGGGAAAAAAGACTACGGAGAGAATGAATACATTTGGTGTGCTGAGGAACACCTCTCTCACTGTGATAGTGGTTCCCTGGGAACAATGAAGCAACGTGTTCAGCTGTCACTTCCTCTCAGGGCTTTTTTACTTTTTCTGGACATGAAGGAGTGTGGACAGTGGCTTTCTTGCCCAAGCTGCATACCTTGGTTTATGTTTTATACTGGTTTATTTTTTTTGGTGACAAATCAATACTTTATGGCAAACAAAATGTGATTTTTTTTCCCTGTTTTTAATGATTTTGGAGCTGGCAAATAAAATGTGATTTTCTGTTTTTAATGGGTTTGGACCTGGAAACTTTCAGTTTTGTGTGTGAAGTGAGTGACCACAAATGCTTCTACGATCCTAGGCCTTTGAGAGCCTGAACTGGAAAGATTCAACCTCCAGGAAGTCTTGTCTTAGAAAGTGCAATAGTCTTGTTTTGGAATGGGCTCAGAAAGTACAGAAAGTAATTAAATGGGAACTTATAAAAAGGACTGTGGGACTGGAGCCAGTACTAGAAGCTGGTGAAAAGGAACCTTTTCCTGCACTCCAGCTGCCCTAGGATCATGGTCTAGCCAGCAAAGAGTGCTGTCAGCACTGGAGAGGCTGGGAGCAGGAGGGTGCTCCATCCACTGGAGCTGACAGCAGTTCTCACCTGGGAAGGGATAGACTCGGGGAAGGAGAGGCAAGGTGCAGCAAGCACCAATGATGGCAGATCCCCTGGAAGGATAATTGTTCTCTACCAGTGTTAATAGCAGTAAGGTAAAGGAAGATAATACCCTTTAAAAGATGAATTGTGGTGTTTTCAAGGAAGCAGAGAGCTCACGTTCACCACCACCACCACCACCTAAACTGGATGTCCCTGCAAAGCAGCTTGTTGCCACACATATATGTTATTAAAATACTAGCAGCATGAAGACAGAATTTCCCCAGGTGTTATTTGGCCAGAATGATTAAAATCAAGCAAATGGACACCAGGAATTTTTGTCCTTAGTTTTACTTTGATGAGTATTGTTGAAGTACTTCAAAAGCAGAAGAGGAAACTCCAGGTAAGACCCCAAAGAAGCAAACACGTCATATGCCCAGGACAGACTGGGAAGGCAGACAGCAATGGGGGAAGGAATAACAGAGTGGTGTAAGATACAGCTGTTGATCAGAGAAAGGAGAATGCTTAGGGGAAAATCTAGAAATACGTAGATTATGGTGAATTATAAATAGTTGTTTGACAAAGACTAAAATGATGAGAGGAATCTGCCATATTCCACCTGTTCAGATAGAGCTACAGGGCTGTGAAATGACAGATCAAAATAAGGCAAAAAGGCTGCAGTGAGAGACTGCTGAGACATTAATCAGACTCTGGAAACGGTGACCTGGGAGAAACTACTGTGAGGGTGAATCACTGGAGGGTCTGAGGCTGGGCAGCCCTGAGTGCACTGCTTCTTCTGTGGTCTTGGAAAAGACTATTTGGGCTTGAGGTTTCCATGAAAATCAGTTTGGAAGGACTGTTTTGAAAAATTTCATCCAAGAAACTGGATAGCAATCAGAACCAAAATAAAATTCAGGGCTGTTTTCTCAACAAAACCCTTAAAAATGTTCCCATGAGCATTTCTGTATAGATCAAAATGTTTCTGGCAAGCATTGGCCAGCCTGTTTCCCTTAGGTGGGGACACAAGAGCCTGGATGTTAGTGTGGAGCTATGGGGCAGGATGCATCCAGCCTTGTTTCCATCACCTGCCTTCTAGATGACCACACTGCTGAGGGAACCCTGAAATCCAGACTCTGTGGGTCATAGTAGACCCCTCTGCTCTGCTCTGAGCTGCCAGAAAGTCACTTTGTTGTCATCAAATGAGACCTGTCTGCTTCTGCTGGGATGATGCTCCAGCCATTAAGATGTTGTGAAACTGTACAGTCAGCTTTGGAGATGCAGATTTTGATTAAATTTGGGATTTACAAAATAAAATCAGAAGGAATGGGGGTTAAGGGGGATAAGGCACAAGCACGGAGGGGTGTCAGTTAACTGGGAACTAGCAGAGTTGGACTTTGCAGCTCCTATCCTGGAGTTTCAGCAGGGCTAACTTCAATAAAAGAACAAAAAGGCAGAGGAGAAGCACCTCCATCTGCTTAAAAAGCTGTGCTCTGGAGCTCTGAAATGCTGCCACATATGTGCTGGGATCTGCACTTTCACCAGCCACAGCGTTTGAGGATGTGGGCTGGCCAGTGGCATTCTCACTGAGGGAGTTTTAATAGAGGCTCCTACTGCACCCAAACCCTTACAGAACTGGCTAGTGCTATACTTTGTCTACTAGATGTACTTTTCTCAACTTCAAAGCTTATACTTTTATGAAATATGAATTAATGTGTGTTCATTTGCTCCTTCATTTCATCTTCCTGAGAGCTACTGATGGTGCTTAAAATGTGACTCCTCTGTATATGTGTGCTGGATTTTTACCACTGTGGATGAAAGAGGCAAACCAACCTTGTTCTCTGTGCTTTCTGTAACTGTATGGACTGCAGTCATCCTAAGCCCAAATCCCTGCCTGGTGCACGAGTGTGCAAAAGGCTGCAGGAGCAGGGGTTGCTCTGCTCTTGCTAAATCTCAGTGTTGCCTCACAGTACTCCTGTTCTCCTGGCATTAGGAATATTTTTTCTTTGTTTGATTTTAGTTTTATAAAGAACCTACAAACTATTTTCTTCTTTTGGGTCTAGACACTGTCTTCAGCGTAGAGAATTGAGAAATTGCTACATTTAAACTCTGTTGCAGAAACATGGTCATATCGATTCCAGTTACCAATAGGAGCATTACTTAATAGCTTGAGTCCGGGCACAGACTTTGGAGCTGGTTGCAACAGCAGCCACCTTTTCATCCTGGAAGTGATGAATGGCTTAGGCATACTAGGCAGGAAAATAAAACCTGTCACTGGAAGACAGATGAGGGCAGTATTTCCCTGTAATGTCAGGACATGTGTGTTCCTCTCTGAATAGGTTTTCATCTTATGTGGGCTGTTAGCGTCTAAGCTCCTTCCAGAGAAGCCTTGCCAAATGTTCTGCTTCTTCATATAAAATTTGGGATCCACATTGCTGGTGACACATGCAGAAAGTATAGGAAAAGCAGAGATTGCCTTCACAATTCTGATAACTGGTTTATGTTAAGGAGGTTTGCTCCCCTTATCTGATATTTTCTTTAGCAGTGTTTTCTGTTTGAGTTTTGATTGGGTTTTTTGGGGGGTGGTGGGGTGGGTTTTTAAAAATAGTTATCTACAGAATGGTGCTTTTCCTGTTTCCTTGCTTTTTAGGAGGAGGAATAGCTGCAGTAGACAACAGGGAATTACTGTGTTAAAGAAATGGCAGCACTACAGAAGTGGACAAAGGTCCTGCGTTTTGTGTGTTGATGCTGTTGCCTCTGTAGTTATCTTGTGTCATGACTAGGCTGAAGATGATATTTAAGAGTTGGGATGGGGAAGGAACTGTCAGGACTGATACTATTGGTCCTGAAAGAACTTTTCCAAAGATCTGTCTCTGGTCTTTGCACATATTGCCAGTGCACACAGTGTCCTCTATTGTTCTTGGGATGTTTAGAGTTTGTTCCTCTGAGCCAGATGGTAGCCACAGCATTCCCACAGCCAAAGTGACTCTGTTAGATCAAGCCAGGCATGGTTAAAACCTCTCCCTCATCTCACTGCAGTGCTGCAGTGGATGAGTTCATATTTTACCTCTTGGGCTTTCAGCTGGTCCTGTTCTGTACACGGCAGCACTGAGACAGCAGCTCTAACTGCTCGTCCAAATGGAAGATTCATTAGCCTGCATTTATCAGCTCTTGCCAGGGAAATGGTGAATAATGAAGCCTGGTTCAGGTAATGAAATTATCTCCTTCTCACATCTGATTACATTGCTGCTTATTATTTCCTCAGTGTGTAATTTTGCTTCTCTGGAAACTTGTTTGGTAAACACTAATGACTGTGCAGTTGTGGCCCAAAGTTAAACCAGTGCTGCAGGAGCCTGGAGAGTTTTGTGGCCTGGCCGTTGCCTTTATTGCCTGTGCTTCATCAGCTAATGGGAGGGTGGGGACAACTAGAAGGTACAAGGAACCCCATCAGAAATGGTGCAGCTCTTGGTACCTACCAGGAACAGCTTATTCCCTTTGTTCAGGTATCAGTGTTGTGATTCAGCCTGACTGGCCTTCTTCTCCGGCACTGGATTTCTCAGAGAGACATCTAACATGATGCTTCTCCATTTATAATCTGTTAGGCAAGAAAAAAACATATTCCTCTCATTTCTTCCTTTATTCCTTTTCTTCTAGAGTAACTCTCTTAAACAAGCAGAATACTGCAGGCTGTTCCAGATGTTTTATATGAGGATCCTAAAACTGGTTTCTCTCTACTACAATGACTTTTCTTGTACATCTTAGAATTGCATCTGCTTGTTCCATGGCAGCATCCATTTGGCAGCTTGGTGTCATCTTGAGTTCACCAAATACAGTCAGAAATCCTCATCCTTAGACCCGAAGACTTGACTTTGCACCATGTGCTCTTTGCCCCATTTATTCTACATAAGGGGGTCTTCCAGTTTTCCTAGGCAGTCTTCTCACTGGCCTCTGTGTGAGCTTGGTGACACCACCCCCACTTTAGCTACGTCCTTCTCCAAATGGTTTTTGTTTGTGGAACCCCCAGTTCTCCAAGGATGGTATTTGTACCTGTGAGAGACTTTTTGAAGGTTAAACAAATGAGAGGTGCCCATCCAGTGTGGGTAGCACATTGGAAACATCTCATATATCTATGATAAACACTATCCTTGAGTAAATCCCTCCTTCAGCAAGACAGCTCTTTGCCATGGGTTGTGTTGTCTTTCTATGATGTGCATGGTCCAGAAAATGCAGAACAGTTTTGAGTTACTGTTGAAGAAGCGAAGTCCTGTTTATGTAGGATGTAATTTATTTTTAAGCAGCTCTTGGTCCCCTTGCAGTCATTATTAATCTCCTCAAGATGAGTGTCTCATTTCGCTCCTCAAAATTGCTTTTCCAGACTACAGCAGGAGCTGCCTGGGACTCCTTTGTGGGAGGCACTGCACAAGCAAGCAGCAGAGGAGTCACCAGCACAAGTGAGGTCACCCCTGAGCGTGCAGACAGACACAGCCAGTGGTTTAACAAGGCAACACTCCTTCACCGAAGCCCCCAGGCCACTATGCAGAGAGTTGTGTGACAGGTTTTCACTGTCCTCCCCTCTCCATGCTCACTCAGGGGACCATGCATCTCTTAGGAGATGTGCTTCCCTGTGGTCCTTTTGGACACAGTTGCTGGAAGCAAATCTCATCCTACGTGTAGGTTGTGTTTCACCCAGGAGCATTTTATGATCTCTTTAGGAGGATTGTCAAGAAACAATTCATATATTTGAGGAGGCACTTGGCTCTGTTATGGCTGCTGTGTTGTTCATTGCTGGTGCAAATTATGCCCAGGGAAGTGCCTACTGTGTTACCTGAGATACATGTGCTCCTGTATTCATTACTTACCTTTTCAGCCAGTCACTGAAAGGAAAATTTAACCCCACAATGGAGGGGGTCCAATGAGATCAGCCTGTTTATTGCCCTGTCTGATGGTATATGACTTCTCTGCAGGAGCTGAAAAAAATTTAAGTCATCCTTTTATTAAAACAAGTGCAAGGAAAAGAAATTTCCACACAGAATGGTTCAATCGTATTAAATTAGAGGGTTTTTTTCCCCTAAACTATTGACTAATGGACTGAAATTTTTCTAAATGCATCTCTTTTTGAAGACAATGCCATTTTTCTTAGGAAAGAAAATAATGAAGTGACAAGGGAACAGCGAGTCTGTCCTTGTCAATGTGTTTCTGTGGTTCAGCTGGGGAAACAGGTGTGGAAAACATTTAGATTAAATGGTTCTCCAAACTCTGAGTCAAACTGTAAACTGTTAAGATTCTGATGGTTTTGTTTTCTTTGGGGTTTCACAAATTTTTGCTCTGCAGTCCAATTGTGCACTATTCCAGAAATCAGTGACTTGGTGCAAAGCTCATTAGTGCATTATTTTCCCTAGTAATAAAAGCTGTGATTGCATCACAGCACCCCAAACATTTTGGATGATTTTCCATGGGTCCTGTGATCTTTTCTGCTCCCATTAAAGCAAGGTGGGGCTACCCCACCTTGCAGCCCAAGCATAGGCAGATGCTGCACATGCCAAGCTGCCCTGTGCTGGACCAGCACCTTTGTATGATCATCCCAGACCCTGGGAAAATCAAACTGGGGCTTTGCCAGAGCAATGACTAATTTTTGTTTTGATGCCATGAACTTCATCCTTCTGACATGAGCGGTTATAAACCCTGCACTTTGTAGCCAGGACACTTCAGACCCATTCCAGGTTCCTTTACAGTGTTTGCTTGCAGAGATTAGTGACTTCAGCTGCAACTCACAAGTTCCACTGAATCTGGCTCCTATCAAGACAATTCTTAACTGCATTCCTGTGTCTAACAAGTAATCTATTGCATCTTCTCTAAAAACACAAACTGATGGAAGGAAACATAGCAAGTGTGGCTTTTGGGTCCTCTTGTCTTACCTTTCTCTCTTAAGAGACTGATGTCAAAAGGCTCATATGGCGTGAATTAGGCAAGACTTGCCAGAGACAGTGGAGTTTGGGCTTGGGTTTGTTTGTTTGTTTATTGAAATAGTATGGTTTAGTATCTTATGGTTTCTAGGAAAGATTTTTCAAATGGTAGTGGCACCATAAAATTTGGAGGAATAGGGACAATATTGTCAGAAAATGCAGGATCTCTCAGTAACTGGATAGAGGAATTTTTTTTTTTTATAGCAAAGCTGTTGTTTAGCACACAAAAAGGGTAAGGACTCCATTGTTTTGTTTCACTGACAACACTCAAGATTATAGAAAATATGAATCCAAGTATTCTGAGTTGATTAAAGCCTCATGCTGGTGCTTGTGTAAAGAACTCTTTACAAATCCTCAAATTTTGGTTTTGTTGTAAGATGTTGTAACTATTCCTTGATTCCCTGGCCATAGTGAGGAACAGTTAAGGAGCTTTTGTTCTTGGGATCTGCATTTGAGTTTCCTCAGGTTAGACTAATCCCTGATATGGGGAAGAGGTGACTCATCTGGAGAGAACTGAAGCCCTGAGAGTGCTGCTCCCTGGGGAAGAGGGACAGCTCTTGGGTTGGGAGTGTGCAGGTGAATGAGACATTTCAAAGCAATTTGTTGCTCTTGCTGTGTTAAATTGTGCTGCTGGAGAGCATCCAGTTGTGTGGAAAAATATTTCCTGACGCAGAATTCCATAAGCCACAAGCCCATCCAGGATTGCTGTTTATCTTGTCTAGGAACCAAGACAGAGCTCTGCTGCATATTTAATTAGATGGGGGAAGGCAAAGAATTTTAAGATAAGATTATCTTCTGGTCCCCATGACAGCTCTCATGTAAGAAGTTTTCATGGCATGCAAACCAGAGTCTGATGGTAAGCCATTTGTTTTTGAGGACACTGAAAACAGCTTTACAGAGTAATATTTTTTTTGTTTGAATACTCATGTGAATTCTTTTCTGTGTATGAGTAAAAAGATTAGTTATGCATTATTATGAAAATGAACAAGATGTAAAGAGATGTGTGGGAACCTGGGGCTCCTGGAGGAATAAACACTTGCATTCCTATAGCTGTTGAAAGCAGCAGAAGAAAGACAAGTGAAGAGAACCCAAGTCCAAATTTCTTATTGCTGCAGTAATTCTAACAACAGTCAGAATTAAGGCATTGGGAATATCAGTATGAAGTCAGCTAGAAGCCAGAGCAATGGAGTTTTACAAACACCAATTGAGTTTATATTGTGGTCCCTCAGTTCCAGTTCTGCAAAGGTTTTTGAGCCTGTTTAGAGACTGGCTGTGGAGGCAGCTGAAGTAGCAGGGTTTGAGGTGGCAGAAGGGGTGTGAAGAGGATGCAAAACCAGGATGGAGTCCTGTGAGGTTTTCTGTTTCGTTTAAATCTTCAGTGTTGGCACCAGTGTGCAACAAGTATTGCAGCTACATACCACTCTCACACAGAAACCAGAAATGTCACAAGTCTGCACCACCACAGCTGCAGATTATCCTCTGCTCTGTCTGAGCTAGTCTGGTCCTTTGTGATTCAAAACCGTTCAGATCTGTGCTCTCCTCTTGCAGTGAGGCCAGAGGAAGCCTGGGAAATGTCTGTAGAGCTAGTCAGTGTTTTCTGTGTTGTCCAGAGCTTGCTCAGGAGTTGGGGTCCTGCTCTCCTCCAGGCAGAAGGATGCGGAAGGCAGAGGAGATGGTGCTTTAGATGCAGTTTTACTAATTCTGAATCTCTGAACAAGTGTTACTCCTATTCAATAAACTCCTTACCCATGATGTTAATGGTTATGAAATACTGGCTGCACTTTGGTAATGAGTCACTGATGGGTATCAAGCGATGGCTTGATGTGGGGAGTGACTGGATGAGCCTCCTGAGGATGTGCTGTAACCTGGACAGAGAGGATGTGCGTGCACTGAGGCACGAAACATCTCTGAGGAGATCGAAGTTCATAAGGCTGCTCACAAGTCTGCCTTGGTCCAAGAGCATTCTGCATCTCTCAGCTGTTCAGAGAAGGATCCAAGTTGTTCTGGGCCAGAGGGAGATCCACAGTGTTGAAGGGAAAGCTGGAAATCCTAACACAGAGGTGTCTATAGCTTTCATGCACTGCAGTAAAACTCAGCCTGTCATTTAAGCATTCATGGTGCCAGACAAACAAGTAAAATTAAGGAACAAGTAACTGCCTTTGTGGTTTTGTGAGGACTTCTGTGTCTTTGCACTTCCAAACGCTGGCATAATAAATCCTGAAGTGCCTTTTTGCTCACAGCAGACATGATTAATACAGCTGTTGGCTGGTGTGTCTGCTAGAGAAAACAATTGGCAACCCCTAGGTAGATAAGCACCAGAGGCCTGCAACCCCAACTATTTTTCCTCTTTTGAGAAATTAAGACATAATATAAAAATGTTATTTTTTTCCTGTTCAAATCCATTATCAGACACAACATAAAGAACAGTCACTTCTGCAATCAGTATTTTGAAGAGTGACTGTTAAAGTGAAGATGTTCAGCACAGCTGGAGCCTCTGTGGGGTCAGGCAGGTCCTGTTTGACACAAGTCTGATAGTTTGACAGAAGCACCAAGGCAGCACATCCCATCAACTGCCCACAGCCTCTCCTGACCTCCTGGCTTGGGGACCAAGGGATGTCCAGATGTACAGTGCCTTTTTTTCACTCAGTAGCTCTTCCACAAGGTGAGAAGGGAGCTTGTGGGAATGCTCAGGCATACGGGCCATAAACTTCAGGCTATAAATGCATCTTTCCTCATACCCATTTTCCCACAGGGAAATCCTGAGCAGGACACAAATATCCTCTATGACTTTACCAGCTTTCCTTTCTGCTTTTTTCAACATAATAACATCCACTGATTTCTGCTTGTTTGCAGGTCTTGTTTGCAGCTGGAAGCTCAAAACACTATTTATTTTCTGTACGGGTTCCTAATCTGGAAATGGATCTAATTTGCTTTACCAAATTACAAGTGAATTAAGATGAACACGTTGTGCTGTGTCCGGATACATCGTGGTGCTTTCATGAAAGAGGAAAAACCACATTTGTCACTGCTGTGATTTTCTTCTTTCCTCAGTATCATTAACTCCATGTTCCCAAAAAATATAAAACATCTCTATAAATGTCTGTTTTTTCTTGGGGCAGAAGTTGAGGAACCAGAGCTGCATCTGTTTCACATCTTTCATCCTTTCAGCCCCTTAAGAATATCCCTGCCAACACCTGCAGTCCCTCCCCCTGACTAAGACACATTTTGATTATCTGCAATATTGCATTTGATAGTATTACTAAATGGTTCTGAAAATTTTCCTTTCAGCAACTGCTTCTTCCCTTTTGAATGGAATTTTTTCCCTACCTGTAAATCAGCTTTAGGGCCTTGTATGTCTAAGGAGAGTAAATACCCCACACACCAAATGAGACAAGTATTTTGCATTTCCATTTCCTGACCCATCAGGAAGAATTTTGTGCAAAATATGGGAGAAATGTCAAAGTGATAAAATAGCATTAGTTATGGTTCTTTCTCTGGTTAGAACAGCTGGTGTTATAGAAAAAAATCAATACTATCCAGACCTTGTGGAGGGCAAACACTTTATAGGAACTGCTACATTCCAATTACAGTTTTACTGACTGACAAATACTACATCAGCTGAGGTTTTTGTTATAATTTCTCAGTTTACTGTTTTAAACCTGAAGCATATCTGAAGTATATTTCTTTGCTAGGAAAGTTTGCAGTCTGGATCTGAGATGGACTCCGCATACTGCATTTATAGGTTTACAGACATCAACTTTATTTTCCTGCCACCAAACCACATTTATTCTGAGATGCAGTAAACACTGCTCCTTTTCAGAAAATCTGTTTAAAGCAACTGATTTGCAAGATTATTTTGTAGCTGAGAACAATTAAGAACTCTAACAGCTTAACCAGCTGTGATAATTAGCACTCACTGAGACTGTCTTTGGGGAAATACAGCACACTGTCTTATTTTAGCTCTTCCACAGTAAGGACTGAGAAAATAATGCGAATAACCACTGTTCTCCCGAGCAGCTCCTTGGGATGGGGAGCCTGGGGCGGAGTCTGGGGCTGTGCGTGAGCTGCCACAGAGGTGATTTCTGCCCGCCCTGTTCCCAAGGTGTGTCATTTTGGTAAACACAGGTGATAAATTTAACTCGTCGTCACGATGTAAGCAAAACCTGTTGTCAGTTAGGGTGGAAGTGCATGCTGCTCCCTTTCTTACAGGAAGGGCTATTTTATTTATAAGTCCTAGAAGCGGCCTCCTGGGCTCCTGCCTAGGGGGGTGTGGTGGTCCAGGGCAGGATCCAGGGGGGGCTGCTGGGGCACGGCCCCGAGCTGGGGCAGCAGCTGCCTCGGCCGGTCCTGTGCCCTGCCAGAGCTGCTGGCAGCAAAGCAAAGAACGCCCAGGACACGGGTTTGCAGACGGCTGATCCAGGTGGGTAGAAAGCTTTTGGTCACTATTTAGTGCTGCAGCACGGAGGGAAAGGGCATTTGCAGGAAAGGGTGAGAAAACGATCCTCATTCTCAGCCGTGGATGAGTTACTACGGTGCTTCATCTCCTGAGGCTACATATTCTGGGACAGGGAGCACACCCAGAGCTCTGACCAGCACAGTGCACAGGGGTAAATACTGTAATATAAGCAAATACATGATACTTCATGTCAGGGAATAAATAAATAGGTCAATTTAAACAAATGAATGTTCCTCCTCTTACCCAGCTGCCAGGTCTCCAGAGGAGGACCAGTGCATGTCCCTGCATGTGCAGGGCTGGTGCAAGTGGAGGACTTACTTGCCTCTGCTTCCTGCTCTGCTCCTTGCCAGGTTACAGCCACAGCTGTGTGTGCTTGTGCCAGGCAGTGCCCTGGATTATGTCTGAGGCAGGGAGCAGGCATGGGCTGCTCCCAGATGGACAAGCTTCCTGGTATGGACACAGTTTCACTTCTTAACCCGCACCACTTTCTTGGCTGTGCCTTTGCAGACCCGTTACCCTAGGAAAGTTGGGCTCCCTGTGCTCTTGTGGGATGGCTGGGGGTCTCCAGCATTGGGCTTTGCGCTTGTCTTCCTTGGGATGGAGCATGTGCTTTTAGCAAGAGTACTGCTTGCTGCAGATTTGATTCTGGCACTTGGTGATGTAGCTCTCCTGTTGTCGCTGCACTTTGTGGGAGAAATAGGAGAAGCAGGAGACTAAATTTATCTGGTCCAAGATTTACAACTGGGATTTTTCAGCCACTTATGAGTCCTGACATATATGAGCAGGTCTGAGGCCAAGGCGCTTAGTATAATTTCACCATCTCAAAACAGGCAGGAAGAGATGCTCCCCATGACCTGTTTTGTAGTAGTAGTAGTAGTAGTAGTGATTTCCTTTCAGCTGAGTACCAGCAATCTAGCAACAGGCAGGGAGTGCAGGATGCTGAGGCTGTGGACATCTTCCTGCCCATCTCTTCCTGCCCATCCTGGTCACAATTGGGCATCTCTCAACCGAAGTCCCACATTTGCAAGTACAGGGCACTGTAGTGTGGCTTCTTGGGGGCACCTACCAATGTGTAATGTAAGTACTGGGTGAGCAGTCTTAGCTGCCTTGCAAAGACCACTTGTACAGGTGTGCACTGCAGAAGCCAAGGTTTGAGGTAGCCATTGCTTACTGTGTGTTTCAGGGACTCTCTGCCACTATGGTTGTTGTTGCCTGTTATTGGGCTTGTTTCCATCAAGTGGAGCTAGAGTCCTTTTCTCATTGTGCTATGGGTGACAGCATGCAAATGGCAACACTGTGGTAGCCTGATGGGGTGTAATGTATCATCATTAGAGTGCAGTAATGTGGTACCCAGCTTGCATGAGAACGACTGCCAGTCTCCCACCAGGCTGTATTTTAGCAGACATCATCTCTCCATCACTGATTTCAGGAGAAGCTGTTGAGGAGTTAGCTACTTGTGCTGCTGGCAGTTTGCTTAACTCACTAGTTGGGCCATTTAACAGCAAGATGCTCACAGGGTGAGATGTTGCTATGGGCTTGGGGGCTTCAGCCCCACATCATTTTCCCCCTTAATCAGGAAGTTTAGAAGAGATTTTTAGTTTAAAACCTAACAAAATTAAAGGGGAGAAAGTCAAATTAATTAAGCTGCAGTGTAACAAAGCACCTCATACCAGCTGCTGAGTCTTTTAGACATTAGAAAGCACATTCAGCTTCCACAGAATAGAAAAGCATAATTTTAAATTTTCAGTCCTTTTTCCTCTGTACCAACAGCTCTTTTCCCTTCTTGAAGCTTAGCTCATTGCTTTTTTACAAAATCTCTTACAGGTAAAGAAGCTTTCAGGAATGAGAGAAGGCCTATGAGTTTTGATAAAAAGGTGCTAGTACGGTCAGGACGCTTTAAAAAGGAGGACATTCCCAGGCACATATTGTAAGTGGACCTGTCAGAATGATTCTTTTGGCTGTGAACACAGAGATTGAGACCCCAGTCTGCATCACCCAGAATGTGCTCACATGGTAGGGGTTAGTGCCTCTCCCATGCTGGTGTCCAAAAACAACTGCAAATAATTGTAACTCTTGAAACTTTTTGCCATTCCCTGTGAAGTAAACTGGATTCACTTAGTTATCATAAATTCCAGACTAAGCTGAAGTGTCTTTTGCAAGACAAGTGGCTTTGAAACTCAGAAGCCATCATGATTAGATATAAACCCATTCACTCTGGGTTTTTACATGCTTTTCTAGGTTTTATTGATTAGTGATTAATAATGCTGCATGTATTTTAATAAGAAGTTGGGGCTACATACAGCTTTGGTGACAGATGTGCAATGAGTTCCTCCTGTATGGGCTGTGGTTTCACCTCCTTGTTGAGATATTTTGTTAAAGGATTGTTACTCAGTTTTGAAGTCCTAATGCTTCTGACTTGTGACACCCTGGGTTCTCCTCCAGCTGTCCTTCCCCTTGCAGGTGTGAGTAAATCCATGGCTGGATATAATTTCATGGATGGCTTATTGCCATGCTGCAGTTTCTTGCAAGCACAAATTGTTGGTTATATGCCAGGAGTTACTCATGGAAGGTGGTGGAGTTTTTCCAGTGATGGATGGGGCTCTTTAGCTGCTTAGGAAGAAAACTCCTGGATGGTGCAGTTGTGTGCTCTGACCCAGTCAACCTCCCACCTCAGGCCGATGCTTGTAGGGCTGGTGCTGACTGCCTGGCAGAGGCTGTGCTGTGGTAGGCTTTTAATTCCCTGAGGGTGGCATTGCCTGGCTCTGGTGCACAGCCCCAGTGTCTCCTGGTGCTGCACAGCACCCCATGGCCTGCCCTGTAGCACCCAAAGGTTGGCCCTTCATTATTATAATGGAAAGACTTTCCTGTCTCTGGCATTTTGCAGGCATTCACTCTCACATGCAATAAAAAAATACAAGAGAGCAGGAGTTTTTAATCCTGTTATTACTGAAGACTTTTGGGAGTAGCAATAGCCCACATAAATCTTTTCCCCACAGGCTAATTTTTTCAGTCCTCCTTTAAGCAGCTGCAGAAAGAGAAGGCTGAGCCTCATTGTTCATTGACAGGAGGCTGCTGCAAAACTTGAGCATTTATTACCCATCTCCCCATGATCCCATTTCACACATGCTTCTGCAGAATGGAAACTGCTCTGTCCTCCACAGGTCTGAGGTCCTCGACACTGCAAGGAGCATTGTCAGGATAAAGGTTTGCTACATCATGATTGCTCTGACTGTGTTGGGCTGTGTGACCATAATCATCACAGGCAAAGAAGTGAGCATTGTTTCTGGGGGAACTGATTGACTTAATGTATGGTGTATGTATGTTCTTTGGAAATAAGCACCTGGGTGACAATAGGTTTGAGAATACACATGGGCAATGTATGCACAGGATCTGTATGACCCCTTCTCCAGAGGAGACATTGGCATTGGAAAGCACAACCTGCTGATCCATGTGCTGTTTCTGACCCACTCTGCCATAAACCTATGCAGGTTTGCTCTATATGATGGTGTCTCAACAAGAGGCTGGGCCAAAGTTAATGGAATAGCTCAGACAGTGTCAAAGGAACCTGGTTCTGCCTGGCATCTGTCAGCCACGAGGCTCCTGTTGTCCTGGATAGCTGCCTGGCCTGGATGCCACCATAGTCACCAAGAGCTGTGACTCCTCTCCCTGTCCCACCCCACTGCTGCATCTCCAGTTTGACCTGCAAGTCCCAGAGAACCTGTAAACAGTTTACAGTGTAATTCTCCTGCTAACCAGAGCTGCATATGCTGAAAATGTGGTATAAGGAAACAGATTAACTTCTATCACTGCAAAATATCAAAAAGGACAGTGGGGTGTCAAAGGAAGTGGTGTAAATGTGGGGAAATTTAACGGTGGCAACTGTGTGCATGCAGTGATTTCCACCAAATCGTTTCCAGGCTGCGAGGAAGGATCAGACGCTGCTGAGAGTGAACACAGAAAAGACGGCCAGAGGGCTGAAGTGGAGAAAGGTCAGGAGGCAGCTGTTGGGAAGTCACAATAATTTGGAACAGATTTATTTTAACAGAAGGAGATAAGTGATTTGCACACGTGGCATATGGACCTGTCTTCATTTAACTCTTAAGAGCTTTTTCACTGAAATTCTCGGAGCAAGGACTCCACTGCTTAAAAATTGCTCCATGCGAACTGGGAACCCCCTATGGAAACTCCAGCTGCTTTCTGTGGTTTCTGGTCTTTGGCACCAGGCCCAGCTCACATACAAAAATCTCTTTCAAACTGGAAAGTGTGGAAAGGACAAATGTAGGACTCCCCAGCTTAGGATCAGCTTTTCATGGTGCTGCTGGTGCTCAGGTCTCCTCACAGTCAGGAAGGACATGGCCCTACATCAGGGAGCATCACGTTCTCTGCAATGCCTCCAGGGCAAACAGCCTTGGCCATAGTGACCCAGAGCAGGGGGGTCTCTGCAACTACAGAGATGTCAGTTATCGCTCTGTCTCAATTGTCTTTGAGCCCCCTGCCATTGCTGTCCCCTCTCCCTTCCACCAGCACCTCATGGGATGCTCTGGCCAGGGAAGAGGGGAAACGTGAGCATGAAGAGGGTCTGGGAAGATGGAAGAGTGTGAGCAGACCTTGATGACTGATTTGGGCCAAAAGAGATGGTGGTGGTGTGGAGTGGTTCCTGTGGGGCAGCCCAGGGAATCCTTGCCTGATGTAGGGAGCCTGGCCTAGATACATCTCTTGTCCTATAGCACCTCACTGGTTTCCCCTTTCATCTTCTGCTTCCAGTCATTGTCATGAAAGTTGTCTAGCACTTGCTTAGCTGTGATTTTAGTCCAGAGTAATTGTTAATACATGGTTTGCTAAAACTGAATTCTTTTTAATCATCATAGTTCATTAACTCATAATAAAACAGCTGTCCAATTATATCTAAAACAAATGCATCTCTTCACAGCTTCATTTAGAGTGTCACCAAACTCTCTGGGATGATTCTTAACAGATGGGAGAAATCCTACGGAAATATTGAAAATTACATTTTCATAAAGTGAGTTAACTTCAACACAGGCCCCAGTTCATGCCTGTGGGTGCTGATGCTCTGATCCCCCAAGTGTCACCTGTAACCCCTTGAGACCTGTAATGCTGGCTGGTAGAGCTGGATGTGCTGCATGAAGTCCCCAGGGGGATGGCAAAACCCAGCCAGAGTTACCCCAGCTGCTACAGGAGATGCTGTAGCCATGCTCAGCCTTGGTGCAATGTTCTGAGCCTCACACTGGCACTTGGCCTTTCCAATGCTTATCACTTGGAGCAGTCGCACTTGTGCTTCAGGGGAGTCCGGAAGCTCCTGCTCAGGTCTCTGAGGTTTATTGTGCCAAAAATTATGTCCATTTATTGCTGAAGTGTCACTGCACAAACAAGCTGCTGGCAAAGTTGGGCGGGGGCACTGGCAGGTTTTGGGGCTCTGGGACTCCCATCTTCTGTGCCTGTGGTCTTTGGGCAGTTTTTTTCCTCTGGTACTTCTCAGGAGCACTTCTCTCCATGTTGCACACAGGGTGAGTGGGATATTACCTCTCCAGGCTTGCAGTCCTTGTTTCCAACTCACAGTCCCATGTGGTACAGTTCACCAAAAGTGATGTCTGGTCCCTGTAGCATTTCTCACAAAACACATCTCAGGGAAGTGAAATAATGGTCTTGGACAAGTAGAGAGTGAACAAGTCGCTGCTGAGAAGGCACTTTTGCTTCACAGGTAATATGGCTTCTTTCATTTTATATGACCTGGTTTTCTTGGTTAGTGCAAAAAACTGCAAGAATTACCTCAAAGTTAGTGCTCATCTGGGGATAAACTAAAAGAGCTTGCTCAGTCTCCTAGATGTTATTTTTTTATAATTCTTAAATGACTTTCATGTGCACTCTTTCAGAAGGTGCATGTAACAATTAAAGAAACCATTTTGATGCTTGTAAACAAATCCACATCCATGTTCTGAGCTTCCCTGACTTAAGCAGAAAAGGAGATGACCATAGCAATGTTTAAAGAACAAGAAAATTAATTGTGACTTGTTCTAGTCTCTGCACTGCACTCCCCTCTGCCTAGGTAAAAAACCTGCTTCAGCTGTGAGCTATTATCAGTTCCTCTTAAACAGCCATGGTCTCTGCCTACAGTGTGTAAAGCTGCCACATTACACACAGTCATTAAGAAAAAAATCAATTCTTCCTCCCTGAGCCACTGGTAAAGCATCTGAGTGACCAGATGACCCAGGTGCTTATGGGCTCTTATAAAGAGCTATGACTATTATGTAGGGAAAGATCCTTTACCAGTGCCTACATGATTATTCATTTTAATATCATAATACTCCCCCAAAAAATCAATTGGACTGATCTCTGGCTTGCACTTGGTGGGTGGTGGGTGGCTGCTGGTGTAGCATAGCCTCAGCTGGAGTCTCCCCTGTATGAACTAGACATGCCTCTCCAACACTGGGACTTATCACTGCTTGTTAAAATCTATTTCCATCTGTGTCTGCAAAGTCCTTTGACTCTCCTCTTGAAAAGCCTCTAATTAACATAAGCTCCTGCATGTATAATTGGCTGATCCTCAGCACCTTACAGTTGTGGGTTTCTTTATTTCCCCTCCCATCTGAATTGCTTCAGTGTCACACCTGATCCTCCAGGCATATAAAAAGGGGATGGGAGGTGTTATTGGCTAGGAGCTATTCTTCCCTTTTTAATAAGGTGCCTTGTGTTTTGCCAGCCTGGCCCTGAGAGGGGCTGGCTTCTTTCTGAGGCAGAGGCTAGAGCTGAGAATGTGCTGGTTTGCTGTGGTGCTCAGAGAGACCAAAGGTGAATCCTTCCAACTCTCACCTCTTCCTTTACTGCTCTGTACCTGGGAGAGGGGGGTGAAGGATTCTTCATCCCTTGCAGGATTTTTTCTGTTTTAATGAATTTTTCATAGCAGTGGTTAACAATGTACTGGTGGTTGATGCCACAGAGATTTGCATGACAGTAACAATTATTGGGGAAGCTTTTCTGTAGTAGCTGGAGTTGATCTAATTCTGCTTCTATTAAAACCAGTGCTGCAGTTCCTCCCGGCTGTGGATTAAGGTTATCATCCATGACTTTTTGAAGTTTCAGTGGTTTCCAGAGACTTAACTTCCCCAGGGAGTTGGGCTGCTGCAGGGCAGAGCTGGGTGCACTGAGCTTTCTTCCTCCAATGTGGTGAGATCAAGCTTTTATGGGAGGCTCTGCATCATGAGCATCCCAGTATACCAGAGGAAAAAAGCCGGAGCTTAGGAGATCTCAGTCCCTTCTTTATTCATTTTACCTCTTGTTTTGACCTTGTCAGGGTCAAAAATAAATCAAGTGTCTAGTGAAATTTGATTTATTTCCATCTGCTGTGTGCAGGTCTTCTCCAGACTGGTATGTCCCTGCACTTAAGAAGGATTTTTTTCCATTTTTTTGCAATTCAGAAAGACCTAATTTCAAAGACTGCCCTGTTCTTCCAGTGTTTAGTCTCCCACCAAGGTGAGAAACTGCTGCTTGTTTTAAGTGTAAATACACCCAGCTTCAGCTTCCAGGCACTGAACATTGTCTTCAACATGGAAACTTTCAACCCAACTCTTCCCTGTGTTCCCAGTCACCCCTCAGCTGTTGTTAGCAGTTGTATGGCTGCTATGTTTAAAACACCTGAAGCTTCTAACCATTGCCTTGGCTATCTATCATTGGCTTACTGGCCAGTTAAGCAATTGACCCTATTGTGAAGTTATTCCTGAATCAAGTGATTTACTACATTAGTACCCCCTCCATAAACAATCCAAATCGATTGCTTTTGTTGGTTTTAGAACCAATAGAATCAATAATCTAGTACCCTTTGCAGAAAGCAAGAATGTATAATCTTCCCAGACTTTACTGACCACCCTGTAAAATTAAAAACCACAATGGCTGTGTATCAGAAACTGACTCTCCTCTGTCTGTGCCCAAGGCACCAGCACCTGCATGAGCAGCACGGTCAGATATGCCTGCAAATCTACTTTTGTTTCTGGGACTGCCAAGGATCAGCTCAAAACAGCTTCAAGGCTAAAGGTCTCCTCTGGGTGAGATGCAGTGGTGGTTTGGATCTGTAAAGGGACCTGCTCCCTCTTACCACAAAGATCTTTCCAGCTTGGAGCAGCCTCCTGCTTTCTCCCTTGTTCAGCATCATTGCAGCAAGTGATGGCTGCTGCCACCACTGGCACTGGGATCCTCATGACCACCATGATTTCAGAGCTGGCTTAAACACCACTATCCTGCTTGGATTTGGCATGAAGTCATTCTAGCCTAGCAGGAAAGCAAGGCCAGTGTTCAATCATTTGAATTAATTAATGGATCATTCATTAATGCATTGGGATAACATTAAAGCAATTTTCCATGGTTAATTAGCTTGATAATTGTTAGTGCTGTGTGATGTATTGCAAAATCTCTGTGACAGTCATATAATGAGTGAGTAGCTCCTGAAGGGCTTGGAAAGGACCTGAGCATTTAATTTCTCTGCTCTGCAAAGGATCCAGACACAACTTTCAGCACAGCATTAGTCAAGCTGGCTCTGCACCTTCTCTGCATGCAAGAACTTTCTACATGGAAACCTAAATCGCACACCTGACTCTTCCTCTGCAGCGGTGTTCCTCAGTGAAGGACCCAAACCTTGAGCTACTTGGGCAGGGACTGCTGTTTGCTGGCTGGGGGGGGCTCACCACAGGGAGGAGGTCAGTCTGGAACAGGATTTCATAGGGAAGAGTTGGGCTTGTTCAGAGCTTATGAATGTTCTGTATGAGCAGGGTAATTGCAAGCTGCTGGTGAAATTGCACCAGAACACAGAGGGATTTTCATATTGGTCTGTAATACACATCTCACAGAAGACGTATGGTCCTGCGACTTTTTCTAAATGAAATGGGAACCAAAATAGCTCAGTGAATTACAATTATTCCTAATGGTTCATTTTATTCTGTATGTAAAATGTGTGAATGCAAAGACAGCTTACACGGAGCTCTATGAATTGCACCCCCTTGCACTGAATACCAC